TACTGACCGAATTTGTTCCCATAAGGAATATTGTGAAGTAGATTAGTCCATTTCAGACCCCCAAACATACACGTACAAACGCACTTACATAAATACACTTACATAATTGGTCGCATTCGGAGGTGATCATTATGCGGGGGTCCACTGTATTTACAAAGTAGAGCACTATCTAGTTAGAAGGCCAAGTAACTTTTTAAGTAGTCAATCTATGGGGTCAATTTCCAACCAGCTTTATCAGTGATATGAAAAATATGTTACATATATGGTACCATAATACATATTACTGTACCTTTGAATTTGAAATAAGTAATAAACAGACAATAAAACTGAGATGGGAAATCACCCACATATTAATATGCGAGACTTGTAGTGCCGGGCCTTGGCGGACTACTCGGAAAGAAGATGCATAATAATGTGTTACATAATATACAAATATCAATTTGTATGTTCAACATATAGTATGATACATAAAGTGTGAAAATGTGCAGCCATGGTATGAATAAAATGTTTTTTATATGGTCTGTGTTGGTACGAGTGGTTACAAAGTCAGTTTGCAGCTGCATTGCAGTGATGAACTAACACCTCAGGATGGTATACATACTAAAGTGTGGTATATACAGCAGTATATTTCATCTTTTATTATATAGTATATACTCTGCATACCTCTATTATTGGCTGCATTATTATTATAATCAAAAAAGAAGCGCTAAGCCACAAGGGCTTATTATTGGCTGCATAACAAGAACTTCTACAATATCTTTCTAAGTCCGACAAGCTCCTGCTTACAAGTCTCTCACCTTATTATTAGTATTAGGTACAAAACTAACTTGGAATATGTTATACCTAATGAAAATCCAAGTGATGATCCAACCCCTTATGGAAAGAAAAAATTAGACAGACATAATGTAAGACTATTTATTTAGTACTTAACCCAATTGCTTTCTGTCACTCTATAATATAGTGGATCATGCATAATATACATTTCCACAGAAAGGTTTAACCCTTTCAGGGTCAAAAGGCCCTCTCACAGACTTGTTCTCAGGGTCAGCCAAATTAAAAAAAAAAAAAAAAAAAAAAAAAAAACTTATGAAAAGATAGAGACTCTTTTCCCAATCATAATGACGCCAAAAGTATGAAATTTGATGGAAAACTTACAGAATTATGCTCTCGCAAAGTTAGCGGTACCGACCATGTTTACACATCAGCGATTTTGCCCACTTTGAGCCCTATTTTCGGCCAATTCCAGTGTACTTGTCAACAAAAATCATAACTATTTCGCTAGAACTCCATTTTTTCTATCGAATGAGCATAAGAAACCACCCATTTACCCATTTCAACTATCCAATACAGTGGTCAGAATTTAGCAATCTTGCCAATTTCAAACAAATTTCAAAAGATGCCAATTTCCGAATAGGGTCCAGAATAAACAAGAAAGACATTCCTGGCACTAAAATAACATTTCCTCTGTTCATTAGTCACGTCCCCATGCCCCTCTTACACACTTTTGCTTTCCACATTGAATTTTTATTCACACAAAAAAATAGAAGATTTACTGTTATGCAGACTACTGCATTGGTGTAGAAATGGTATAAATATTATCAGTGCACTTGTGAATGAATATTAGACTCACCAGTTGATGTGTATTGGACGCATAGCATGATTTGTTTACTTCTGAACTTGGGTAAAAATCGAACATTTCTGCTACTTTGAGCGCAATTTCAAGGTAGTTTTCTTTGTAAAACCAGTCAAAATCATCTCAATTTCTGTAATATGTCTTCCATTCTATAAAATGAGACCAGGGAAACTAGAATACAACAATAAATACCATACGAAAATACAGTGCAAATTCGCTGTTATAATCCAAAAACACGGTCAAAGTTTTTTTTTCTCATTACGCACTGTGTGCTGCAGGATTTTTTTTATACCGTGCACACTGACCACATAGACCCATTCTTTCATATGTAGGCCTACCAGCTTTCTCTCACTAGATTTGAGGGCGCTAGAATTTAGGCGTACTAGTACGTCAAAAACCCTGGTGTGTAAGCCGTACTACTACGGCCGAAACCCTGAAAGGGTTAATATTCACTTTACTAGTGAAATAAATAATATTAACCTTATTTAAGCTCTACAGCATAACTATTTCTAGCAATGATTGTCAATCTTCTTTTAATATTAGCATTATGGAATAACAAGAACTTTCAAATAATGCACAGAACCTAAATACTGAATGCAGCATTGTGTCAGTTCAACGCTGATTGTAGTACTGTGTTACAGTTCAACACTGAGTGTAGTACTGTGTCATAGTTCAACTAACATATCAAAAAATAAAACCTGGAATGTAAATAACATCCATCAAATAAATGTTTATTGTTATACTGCATCGAGTGTTTCCCACCAAGGAAGGATTTTCAACCTACCTGCACACACAGAAAAATTACTCTCAATGAATAATATAGTTTATGTTAAAGTATAAATGAGATTATTACCAAAATATTTTACTGGTCATTTTCAGATTTATTACTAAATAAAAGATTTTCAATATCAAAATTTAAATTTCAAAAAATTCTTTCCAACCTCTGATATTTTTATGCTAGTGTTTGAAGCCTCAAAATAGAAATAAATTTTCAAAGCAAATAGGTTAGCATCTCCAAAAATTTTGATAATAGGCTGGCATATTTTACTGTAATTTACCTAAACTATCACAAGAACTAATATGAATAAATAAAAAAGTAATAACACTGAATTTCTTTAAGGGAGAACAGTACAATGTTTAACTTGAGTCAGCCAGTAAAGCACTAACATGGTAGTAGCAGTAGTAAGGCTTAACCAAATAAAAATATGAAACGTGTAGTACTGTAGTAGGGTATAAAGTGAGAAGACAGTTTGGTCAGGGAAACTATCACTGTTTGGATAAAGCTTCCTGAAGTCAAACATCTCAATAAATATCCTAGTATTAACATGTTTTTTATATACATACTAGTCAGTATTTAAACCCATCTTTTACTGTATAAATGATAGGTTTAAATATTTAAAAGTTGTTTGAAATTATCAACAATTTGGAGGAAACTTTACACATTACAGTTCAGGGCAGAACAAATCGTCTAAAACTGTCACTAAATTGTGGGTTAAAAGTGAATAGTTCCCAACAGTATTGTGACCTGTATTCTTTGGCAGAGACAAACATTGCAAAGCTAACAAGTAGACATGAAAGAGAAAATTGCAAAGAGTAACTTTATTGAGAAGTATTGCATGTGGAAGAGGACACCACTGACTGGAGAAGTCTGTTCCACAGGTAAAATGTCTCAGTAATGCTTCTCACTACATGTGTCTTTTTCCTCTGTATTCTTTGGGGTTTGAAATATGTGGGAAGGAGTCTGCATGCTGCCATTCCCTCCATACATGTTCTAGAAGAAACAGCGTGTATAATATATACAAGGAGCTGCTGGAAAACATAAGACATCTAATGTATATAAGGAACTAGAAGAAACAAGACATCTAATGTATATAAGGAACTAGAAGAAACAAGACATCTAATGTATATAAGGAACTAGAAGAAACAAGACATCTAATGTATATAAGGAACTAGAAGAAACAAGACATCTAATGTATATTAAGAACTAGAAGAAACAAAACATCTTATGTATATAAGGAACTAGAAGAAACAAGACATCTAATGTATATTAGGAACTAGAAGAAACAAGACATCTAATGTATATTAGGAACTAGAAGAAACAAGACATCTAATATGTATAAGGAACTAGAAGAAACAAGACATCTAATGTATATAAGGAATTAGAAGAAACAAGACATCTAATGTATATAAGGAACTAGAAGAAACAAGACAATGTATATAAGGAATTAGAAGAAACAAGACATCTAATATATATAAGGAACTAGAAGAAATAAGATATCTAATGTATATAAGGAGCTAAAAGAAACATGATATCTAATGTGTATAAGGAACTAGAAGAAACAAGATCTCTAATATACTTAAGAAACTCCTAGAACAAGACATCTCATACTGCAAACAAGGAACCACTTAAACAAGACATCTAATGTAAATATAGAACTACAACAAACATAAAATCAAATATGTATAAGGAATTCCTAGAAGAAACAAGGCAGCTAACATATATAGAGGTATCAGACATTTTTTCATTAATTTCATTAATTTTTTCCTTAAAAATATTTTTGTAACAATACAAAAAATTGAATACAGTAACAGTTATAATCACTGACAACAAAGACTTCCTGCTACTGAGAAATGCACATTAACAATTAATCAAAACAATAATGGCACATCATATTCACATATGCAGAAGATTCCTGGTGACGTCTTACATTACTAATGTGCTACTGTACAATTCAACAATGCAACTGTACATTGGTAACAGAAAGACAGTAAAGAACCCATTATCTATACAACTTTTCAAGTATCAGATAAGTAAAAGGTACTTGATAAAGCTTCAAGTGAATGAAACAACTGTTTAAATAACAGGTACAGTACTTGATACAGACCCAAGTGAGTGAAACAGAAAGTAAAAGGTACTTGACACAGCCCAAGTAAATGAAACAATGTATAAGCAAATGGCTCTTTGCTATGTCTTTCTATTATGTGCCATTTGCTGGCTTTTATCCATTATTTCATATGCAGTAAACCCTTTATTTAACTGGCTAAAAGCAAGGAGCAGGTGGCCAGGAAAGGCAATTGTGGTGGATAAGGACAATTCAGTAACCAACAGGCTCTCTCCATTATCTTCAAATCAAATGAGCCAGCAGATTTTCTCCTAGATTTCTGAGGTGCATTAAATTGAGGGTTTACTGTACAGTTATACAACTTGACCCTAACACTGCTTTTTTTTTTTTTTTTTTTTGTTAAAGAAAGCTTACACATGACAAAGCCTAAGAACATGAATGACTCCCTTCTCAATATCATTACTGCAAACGATGGTCACTAACAAGAATAAAGCACATGAATGCTATCCCGGTGTATCACAAACCTTCAATGGAGGGATATCTCGAAAGATGACGAGACAGTAGTTTTGCTTGAAGTCCCCGATGACCACAGAAATTTTGCCCATCTGCTGGGTCACGAACATATTTCTATTCCTTACTGACTTAAAAATCTTTAAAAAGTACATTGTACCTCGATTTTAAACTTTCTCTTATCACATTTATACTTCACAAAAAACTTCATATATATCCAATACACTGCATGGGGTTCTTAACCCTTTTACGATTACAGACTCCCCACTGGATTGCCCGATATATCCCCATATTTCCTTCGCCAGACTGCTGAAATTATCATCATCACAAGTCCTATTAGGTACTTGTAAGACTTCAAAAGATGTCAATAGGTTGTTTTAGGAGCCTAGCAACCTCAGTCCATACTGGTAATAGTGACAGTTATTCTAATCTAGCAACCCTTTCACTTTTTACATTGATCAGAGTTGAAGTCCCATACCCCCAAGGGGTATGGATACCCCTGGTTAAGAACCCCTGCTATACAGCATTTATACTGCCAGTGCAGTATAAATGTTTTCTCAATCTTTGTTTCCTCACAATGATATGTCGCTCAATTATTTCAACAAGCTTAATGTCTACTGCCCTCCTTTTCTATGTTTAACAAGAGATGTTTTGTAATAACTCTGACTAGTGCAAAGAGAAAAATCAAACTGCAGACTTGTGTAATAAAATGTTTAAAATTACTATAATTACCTAACATTTAAAATATGTTTATATGCTAACACTATGATAAGAATCTGGTATGAATTTCTATGTTTTTCAAGCAGAAAAAAAAGACCAAATATTTTCATTTTAAAAACCAGCCATCTCCCACCAAGGCAGGGTGACCCAAAAAAGAAGAAACACTTTCACCATCACTCACTCCATCACCATCTTGCCAGAGTCATACTGATCTTACAACTCGGATGCCCCTCCAAACTGCAGTATCTCCACCCCTCGTCAGACTGCAGGCATTACACTAACCAGTTTTCCCGAATACCTTCATAGATATTACCTTGCTGTAAAATTGTACATGCTTATTGTACGAGACCTTACTATAACTAAAGCATGCATATATGTGAACTTTTTATAACAGTTTCTTGTAGCAAATACATCAGTTTGCATCACCATGCTTTTGGTAAGACAATGAATAAGAGTGAAAGTTATTCATTTTTTGGGTCAACCTAATCAGGTGCAAGATGGCTGGTGCACTAAGAACATCATAATAATAATACTGACAAATATTACATTTGGTTATGTCTATATTTTGTCAGATACAAAGGTAAAGAGACTGACTGCCATCACTCACTATCTCAGGTCAATGAAGTTCATCTAGAGTTCTTTGCCAAATATTGTCCTCAGATTGCTAGTAGAAGCCCAAAGATGTGACTAACTTTCCCTTCAGTTAAACAATTTGTTGTATCAGATTATTCTCAGGTCAAATGGTGACCTGTATATAGACTAGGTCAAGAGGTTAGATATCCAATTTTTGACTTCGAGAAATAAAAATTACATCACTGAAATCCTTGTAATGAACCAATTCCAAAAACGTTCGGTGTAATAGGTATATGATGCTTATTACCCATGTTAAGATGCTTCAAAGAAGGGCTTATTGTTATGACCTCAAAATGACCTAAGTCATAATGCTTGACATATAGGTCAACAGAATAAGTTTTGTGCATACAGATCACTGCAGTATGAGTTCCAAGAGTTTTTCAAATCCCAGAGCCCAGCCTTGGGCCAGGCTCATCTGGTGTATATATACTATTCCATCACACAGAATGAACTGTTGGTGAATGCGTCACTGTTCTACTTAATGAACTATGAACACATGTGCCACACCATTCCTCACTTTGGAAGGAATATTTCTAATCATCATTATCTAGAATCAACTTGAGTTCTAGAAGATAATTAAAAAAAATAAAGAAAAATGTTTACCAAGTGTTTTTAATATAATGGCCATCTCCTAGTGAAGTAGGGTGCCCGACCCCCCAAAAAGAGAGAATACATTCACTGATATTCATTCAATTGCTGTCTTGCCAGAGGCATGCGAACATCATAGCTCATACAGCCATCCGAACTGCATCATCTTCACCCCTCCTTCAGAATGCAGGTACTGTACCTCTCACTTCAAAGACTCAAATCTGGTTAACCATTTTTCCTGAATTCCTTTATAAATGTTACCTGGCTCACATTGCAACAGAATCTCAAGCCATAAAATCCACTTGCCTCCAAATATTTTCAGAAAATGGACTTTATCAATTGGCTAGTATTGCTATGCCAGTGATGTATTTAAATCTATTATTTTCTGCTACTTAAAAAAAAAAAATTTTTTTTAATACATATGAATTTTGTTTTTGCCTAGCTACACAGATTACCATCAAACATTCAAGTGAACCAGTAAACTGTGTAGGCTAACAACCTCATGGCAAAAAATAAATAGGTAATATTAAAAGTACGTATACTGCTATTAAAACTACCCAAATTAACATTTATTACTGGTGACTAATGCAGGCTGACACCTAACAAATAATGCAATGTAAAATACTAAATCTAGTGAGTAAACACATTTGTCACTGAGGAGAGTATAGAATTAAACTTTCAGTTTGATATAAGGGTGAATGTTTGTGCTTCATAGTACAAAATAAACCATGTAAATAGAAGGGAAAAACCAACATGGGGAGAAACTAAAAGAAAAGAATGGTTTGCTGGTATATTTCACCCTCTAGCTGAAGTCCTTTTCAGCAGATCATATCTGCTGAAGAGAACCTCAACACGTCAAAATATACACACAACCATTTTTCATTTTCTCCCAAAGGTAAAAATGTTGCAAAAAGGTGATAACTCTGCTTATAATTAGACATCTTAAAATTTTCAATACCTGTAGATTGTATATTTTTATATACAAGGATGATGAATGAATGTTTCTCTAAGTTTCTTGATGAAAGGAGTAATGATTAATGAATTATAGTTCAGAATAATCAATAATTCATAAAATGAACAAGAATTCAACTTTGGTTCCATATACAAAAAAAAAAAAAAAAAAAAAAAAAAAAAAAAAAAAAAGATTAACTCAGATTTTAGGGCTAACAAAGATGATATTTTTGCATTTCTGTATAAAGGTCCACTCCCAAATATCTGAACACATTCACTTCCTCCATACTCCTTCCCTCCAATCTGATATACAATCTCATATAACCTAATCTGTTTGTTTCCCATATCACCATGTTCTTACCTATGTTCACTTTCAACTTCTTTCCTTTACATGCCCTCTGAAATTCGTCCACTAACCTTCACAATTTCTCTTCAGAATCTCTCAAAAGCACAGTGTCAACAGCAAAAAGTACCTGCAACAACTCCCATTTTGTATCAGATTCAGCATGTATTTTAACCCCACACCTCTTCCCAACATCCTAGCATTCACTTCTTTTACAACCCCATCTATAAAGACGTTAAACAACCATGGTGACATCATGCATTCCTCTCTAAGGCCTACTTTTACTGGAAGGTAATCTCCCTCTCTCCTACCATCCTAACCTGAGCCTCATTATCCTCATAAAAACTCTAACAGAATTTAGTAACCTACCACATCTGCTATATTGCTTCCTTATCCACCTTATCATATGCCTTTTCTAAATCCATGAAAGCAACAAAAACTTCACCTAAATACCGTTCACTTATATGCTTCAATGTAAACACTTGATCTACACATCCCCTACCTCTTCTAAAGCTTCTTTGTTCATCTCCTATCCTGACTCTCTCTTGTCTCCCTTCCCTTAATACAAAGGAACTATGCTTGCTCACTGCCAATCCCTAGGTACCTTTCCCTCTCTCAAACATTTATTGAATAGTAACATTAACCACACCAAAACTATATCCCCACCTGATTTTAGCATTTCTGTCATGACCCCATCAATCCCGGCTGCTTTATCCCCTTTCATTTTACCCACAGCCTCACGCACCTCCACCACCCTCACATCTGGCTCTCCCTCACCCCTAAAGGATGTTATATCTCCCTGGCCAATGAATGAAATCACATACATGTATACATATAAATATAATTAACTGTTGCATAGATTTCATATCCCAGGCCTAATAAAATTATATAAAAACTCTTTTACAAGAATTTCTTATATACAGCAGTACACATAAAATAAAATGTAAACTTAGTTTGCAACATTTAGGAGGAGATTTTACTAAATGAAACTGGCATGTAATTTATCTTATCAAAATCAATTTAAAACAAAATTTCTATCATAACTGAAACTGCAAAAGTCACACAAAAAATGTTCATTCTTACGTACCTCTTTCATCATCAACAAACAGGGAACGTGATTTGCGAATTGTTCCTCTCAGCGCTACTGAGATCTTGCGGCGAGCTGGATCCCTAGTAGTTCTTTGGCTGAACCTAAATAATAAGAATAATAATAATAATCAAGCTGGATGTCCTGGTTTTAAGTGAAACAAAGCTGAAGGAGACAAGAGAGTTTCAGTATGGAGAAATAAATGGGATTAGGTCAGGGGTTTCAAAGAGTTAGAGCTAAAGAAGGAGTAGCAATAATGTTGAAGGATACATTATGGCAGGAAAAGAGGGAATATAAATGTATAAATTCAAGGATTATGTGGAGTAAAATAAGGGTTGGATGTGAAAAGTGGGTTATAATAAGTGTTTATACACCTGGAGAAGAGAGAAGTGTAGAGGAGAGAGAGATTTTAGGAAATGTTGAGTGAGTGTATGGGGAGTTTTGAACCAAATGAGAGAGTACTTGTGGTTGGGGATCTTAATACTAAAGTGGGTAAAAATGTTGTGGAGGTAGTAAATAAATTTGGGGTGCCAGGGGTAAATGAAAATGGGGAGCCTTTAATTGAGCTATATATAGAAAAAGGTTTGATAATAAGTAATACATATTTTATGAAAAAGAGGAGACACACGATCGAAGTGTGTAAGTGGAAGATGAGTATTAATAAAGGGGATATAAATAAGGTGTTGAGGATATCTCTCCAAGAGAGAACCCACAGTAATGGATTCAAATTAGACGAGTTTAGATTTAGAAAGGATATAGGAAAGTATTGGTTTGGAAATAGGGTAGTTGATTAGTGGAACAGTCTGCCTAGCAGGTTTATTGAGGCTAAAACCTTGGGTAGCTTCAAATTTAGGTTGGACAAATACACGAGTGAGAGGGGTTAGATTTGAGTGGGATTTGCACGTGAGTTAATAGAATTATCAAAGCTTACTGCTTGGGCAGAATTGAAAATTGGGTTGGGCAAATATTCTGTTAGTGGGATGGATTGTGAAGGACCTGTCTAGTATGGGCCAACAGGCCTGCTGCAGTGTTCCTCCTTTCTTATGTTCTTAAGTATTCAAGGTATGATATAGAATGTAATGAAAGTACAGTGGACCCTCAGTTAACGATGCCATCGGATGGCGATAAAATCAGATACCGATATGATTTGCGTCAAAATATTGGCTTGGCTAACGATAAAAAACTCAGTTAAGGACATTCGTCCAGAACATGGGGCCATTCTTTACAAGTCCGTGCAGACAATTCCACGCATACATGCGATACATTTTGTATTATTTCATTGTTTTCAGTGCTTGTAACTGCTAAATAAGCCACCATGGGCCCAAAGAAAGCTTCTAGTGCCAGCCCTGTGGTAAAGGGGGTAAGAAATACTATTAAACTGAAGAAAGAGATCATCACAAAATATGAAAGTGGAGTGTGTGTCTCCGAGTTGGCCAGGTTACATAACAAACCCCATTAAACCATCGCTACTATCTTGGCCAAGGAAAAGGCAATCAAGGAAGCTGTTGTTGCAAATGGTGCAAATATACTTACAAAACAGAGATCGCAAATACTACTCGAAGATGTGGAGAGACTGTCGTTAGTGTGGCTTAACGAGAAACAATTATCTGAGAAACAATTAACCCCAGAGGATTAGCCACCCAGGATAACCCAAGAAAGTCAGTGCATCATCGAGGACTGTCTAACTTATTTCCATTTGGGTCCTTAATCTTGTCCCCCAGGATGCAACCCACACCAGTCGACTAACACCCAGGTGAACAGGAAAAAATGCCCGGAACTAGTGTTCATGTTGGTGAATTTAAGGCCAGCAAAGGTTGGTTTGAGAGATTTAAGAATCATAGTGGCATACACAGTGTGATAAGGCATGGCAAAGCAAAAAATTCCAACCCCAACAAGTGTTCAAGTGTGACAAAACAGGCCTGTTCTGGAAGAAACTGCCAAACAAAACCTACACTACTCAGGAGGAAAAGGCACTCCCAGGACACAAGCCTATGAAAGACAGGCTAACTCTCATGTTTTGTTGTAATGCTAGTGGGGATTGCAAAGTGAAGCCTTTACTCATGTATCACTCTGAAAATCCCTGAGTGTTCAAGAAAAACAGTCTCTCATCAATCATCAATACTCTTCAACAAAGGTAAGTGTCACTTTAGTATTTATTTATGTATTTATTCTGCATGTCTCATTGTTTTCTGTGTAGGGAAATGTATATTTCATGTAAAATAATTATTTTTTTTTTAATACTTTAGATTAATTGGATTTCCATTATTTCTCATGGGGAAAATTAATTCGGATAACAATAAAATTGGTTAAGGACAAGCTCTCTGGAACGGATTAATATCATTAACTGACGGTCCACTGTAGTTTGTTAGATTATGTATTGGTGGAAGTTAGGGTGAGAAATAAGCAACTATTGGCAAAAGGTGGGCTAATGCAAGTATGAGTAGTAGTGGGGTTGAAGAGGGTTGGGATAGTTTTAAAAATGCAGTATTAGAAAGTGGGGCAGAAATTTATGGCTATAGGAGGATGGGTGCAGGAGGAAAGAGGAGCGACTCGTGGAATGAAGTAAAGGGTGTGATAAAAGAGAAAAAGGTAGCATATGAGAGGTTTTTACAAAACAGAAGTGTTATAAGAAGAGCAAAGTATATGGAGAGTAAAAGAAAGGTGAAGAGAGTGGTGAGAGAGTGCAAAAGGAGAACAGATGATAGAGTGGGAGAGGCACTGTCAAGAAATTTTGAAGAAAATAAGAAAAATTTTTGGAGATAAACAAGTTAAGAAAGCCTAGGGAACAAATGGATTTGGCAGTTAAAAACAGAGTAGGGGAGTTAGTAGATGGGGAGTTGGAGGTATTGGGTAGATGGCAGGAATATTTTGAGGAACTTTTAAATGTCGATGAAGACAGGGAGGCGGTAATTTCATGCACTGGCCAGGGAGGTATACCATCTTTTAGGAGTGAAGAAGAACAGGATGCGAGTGTGATGGAGGTGGTTGAGGTATTACATAGAATGAAAGGAGGTAAAGCAGCTGGAACTGATGGGATCATGACAGAAATGTTAAAAGCAGGGGAGGATATTGTGTTGGAGTGGATGGTATTTTTGTTTAGTAAATGTATGAAAGAGGGGAAGGTACCTAGGGACTGGCAGAGAGCATGTGGCCTGATGGCTGAAGCTCTTGCTTCACACACGGAGGGCCTGGGTTCAATTCCCGGAGGGGTGGAAACATTTTGACATGTTTCCTTACACCTGTTGTCATGTTCACCTAGCAGCAAATAGGTACCTGGGTGTTAGTCGACTGGTGTGGGTTGCATCCTGGGGGACAAGACTGAGGACCCCAATGGAAATAAGACAGACAGTCCTCGATGATGCATTAGCTTTCTTGGGTTATCCTGGGTGGCTAATGCTTTGGGGTTAAAAATCCAAAGAAAATCTGATCTTACCTCTTAAAAGAGATTGTAAAAATTATAGGGGAATAAGTTTACTGAGAGCTAGGTAGTAGGTTGGTAGCCAGCAACCGCCCAGGGAGGTACTACCATCCTGCCAGGTGAGTGTAAAACGAAAGCCTGTAATTGTTTTACAAGATGATAGGATTGCTAGTGTCTTTTTTCTGTCTCATAAACATGCAAGATTTCAGGTACATCTTGCTACTTTTACTTACACTTAAGTCACACTACACATACATGTACAAGCATACATATATATCTATATATATATATATATAAAGGGAAAGGGGACAAAAGAGACTGTAAAAATTATAGAGGAATAAGCTTACTGAGTATACCAGGAAAAGTGTACGGTAGGGTTATAATTGAAAGAATTAGAGGTAAGACAGAATGTAGGATTGCGGATGAGCAAGGAGGTTTTAGAGTGGGTAGGGGATGTGTAGATCAGGTGTTTACATTGAAGCATATATGTGAACAGTATTTAGATAAAGATAGGGAAGTTTTTATTGCATTTATGGATTTAGAAAAGGCATATGATAGAGTGGATAGAGGAGCAATGTGGCAGATGTTGCAAGTATATGGAATAGGTGGTAAGTTATTAAATGCTGTAAAGAGTTTTATGAGGATAGTGAGGCTCAGGTTAGGGTGTGTAGAAGAGAGGGAGACTACTTCCCGGTAAAAGTAGGTCTTAGACAGGGATGTGTAATGTCACCATGGTTGTTTAATATATTTAATAGATGGGGTTGTAAAGGAAGTAAATGCTAGGGTGTTTTTGGGGGAGGGGTGGGATTAAATTATGGGGAATCAAATTCAAAATGGGAATTGACACAGTTACTTTTTGCTGATGATACTGTCTTATGGGAGATTCTAAAGAAAAATTGCAAAGGTTAGTGGGTGAGTTTTTGGGGAAAGTGTGTAAAGGTAGAAAGTTGAAAGTGAACATAGAAAAGAGTAAGGTGATGAGGGTGTCAAATGATTTAGATAAAGAAAAATTGGATATCAAATTGGGGAGGAGGAGTATGGAAGAAGTGAATGTTTTCAGATACTTGGGAGTTGACGTGTCGGCGGATGGATTTATGAAGGATGAGGTTAATCATAGAATTGATGAGGGAAAAAAGGTGAGTGGTGCGTTGAGGTATATGTGGAGTCAAAAAACGTTATCTATGGAGGCAAAGAAGGGAATGTATGAAAGTATAGTAGTACCAACACTCTTATAATGGGTGTGAAGCTTGGGTGGTAAATGCAGCAGCGAGGAGACGGTTGGAGGCAGCGGAGATGTCCTGTTTAAGGGCAATGTGTGGTGTAAATATTATGCAGAAAAATTCGGAGTGTGGAAATTAGGAGAAGGTGTGGAGTTAATAAAAGTATTAGTCAGAGGGCAGAAGAGGGGTTGTTGAGGTGGTTTGGTCATTTAGAGAGAATGGATCACAGTAGAATGACATGGAAAGCATATAAATCTATAGGGGAAGGAAGGCGGGGTAGGGGTCGTCCTCGAAAGGGTTGGAGAGAGGGGGGAAAGGAGGTTTTGTGGGTAAGGGCTTGGACTTCCAGCAAGCGTGCGTGAGCGTGTTAGATAGGAGTGAATGGAGACGAATGGTACTTGGGACCTGACGATCTGTTTTGGGGTGTGAGCAGGGTAATATTTAGTGAAGGGATTCAGGGAAAAAC